GTTTGTGTTTGTTTGCACAGGACAACCTGCTGCTGGACATGTACCTTGCACCTCATGTCAGGACACTTTACACCCAGATTCGAAATCGTGCCCTTATTCAGGTAATTGTTCCTGTAATCCTCAGAGTTGGATGAACAGTAAGAAAGGCCGTATCTTTGTAATTGCTTTTCCCATGGTTTTCCAGAGGGCAGGGGGTACAGTTGGCAATTGAGTGTTTTCTTCTTCCTAGTACTTCAGCCCCTATGTGTCAGCAGATATGCGCAAGATGGCCACTGCTTTTAATACTACAGTGGCTGCTCTGGAAGATGAACTTACACAGCTGATCCTGGAGGGCCTGATCAATGCCAGAATAGACTCGCACAGTAAGGTGAGTGCATTAGAGCCACTGAACAGCTGTACTAAGACTAGAAACTCTCCATTCTGGAACACTTTGAAGTTGAATTCACCTGTTGTGACTGGTATGTTCAGTAGGGCTGAGCTGTGTGTGAACTCAGAGTCCATGATACCTTGGGTTTGTACCCTTGTGCAGAAAGGACTTCCTGCTGTGGAACCCTGTCACAGCTCTTGTGTACAGTTCTCTGTATTGGTTACAGATTCTTTACGCTCGAGATGTAGATCAGCGTAGCACAACTTTTGAGAAGTCTTTACTAATGGGCAAAGAGTTTCAGCGCCGTGCCAAAGCCATGATCCTGCGTGCTGCGGTCTTGCGCAACCAAATACATGTGAAGGTATGGGCGTGTTAAATGTGGACTTCGAGACAATGTAAAGATGTTAATTTTTTTTCTTTTTTTTGTAACTGAAACTATCAAAGTTGGTGAATTGAAGATTCTGGGGGGAAATGGATTTTTTGTGCTTATGATTGGACAGATTCTCACAGTAGTAAATATAAATACATAAGGAACAGATGTTTCTGGCCAACACATTCACCTGCTTATACAATGCAGAATGTCCTTTGAAGGTCACATGCTTGGGTTGATTCTAACTTACTCATTCGTTACATATCTTTTATCAAAACAAATATTGGTTTTAGTAATTTTTTTTGGCAGAGGAAGTAAAAAATGCATGAATTGCTTGGAGTATTCCTTCCAGGATGCAGTTCCAAAAGAACGCCCTCAGGGAAGATAGGCCGTCTGCCACAGAACATGTAAAATTCTATAGTATATTAATCTCTATGATGACTAAATAGCAGATAGGATTCAACTTCTAGGGCCAACAGCAACTTGTACATAGTAAATAAGAGTGGCTTAAAAGTTCTGATTTGACTTTTTTAGTAACAGTTGTTGTGAACTGTAACTGTAGAAGTTGTAAAGACAAAGCTTTTGAAAGCCATCGTTATTTATGAGTTGGGGGTGTTCTCTCCCACTGTTGTTAATCCTGCTGTTCTTCACCTATGCTTCATTTGGTCTCTCAGGAAGCACCCTGCAGGATATTTACATGTCACTAACGAGGATGTGTTTTGGTCTTGTTGCAGTCTCCTCCGAGAGAAGGTAGCCAAGGGGAACTTACTCCAGCAAACAGCCAGTCCAGGATGAGCACCAACATGTGAAAAACTTTGTGTACTACCAAAAGAAATGGTCCCTCCAGGACTGTACCCATTGTCTCACCCACTAACTGCTGAGCTTCACAAACTGTCCCTGTCTCCCTCACTTCTTGGTCAGATTGAGAGGGTCAGGGCTGACGGTGGATAATAATGAATATTCCTATAACTTCAATTCTCCTTGAAAAGAAATTCTTTCTAAAAACAGCATCCCTGCAATGGGTCATCATTTCAATTTTGGTAGAACATCTTCCTCCATTTTCCTTCTCCACCACTCCATAAAGAGCTGTCAGGTTATTCACACAGATGCTGATTTAAGAGTTTTTCAGCTGCTATTAGTTTTCATGTTTCAAAGCTGCAAAAATAGTGTTAAGTTGAATGGACATGTGTGATCTAAGATGAATTTCACTGGCCTGGAAGTTTTGCCTTGATTTTTAGCAGTGCTGAGCTTTCAGTTTATTCCAGATAAACTTCCATTGCTTGCAGTTATGGAGGTAGAGTTCTGGTGGGAGAGGAGACTTCCTCTGCGAAACCCTTAATGACTTTTTCACCTACACTAGAAAACACGGCACCGCTTCCATGCATTCAGTCACAGGCCTTTATTTTAGGGTGTTATGTTTACCTGGATACAGGTTTTTTCTCTTTGGACTCTGTTTTCAAAGACCTGTTTGCTAATGTTTTTCCCACTTGTGTGTGACCTGCCTTTGGGGTCTAGTGTTATCATAGCAGTAAATTTCTTACTTCATGCAAATACTGCTGCTTGTCCAGTCTTACTGCCATAGTGTGTGATGGTTTCCCAACATGTGCAACACTTGCTTCTGGTAGCATGGATAAATGCCATAAAATACCACTCAAGTCCTGGGGAAGAGCTGAAAACAGCCAATTTAGGTGCCTGCTCTCCAGGTGCATTTATTCTGCTTTTCCTTTTATAAAGGGATTAAAGGTGGCAGCCCAGGTGTGTGTGTTCTGTGTTAACAAAAGGAGATATGCACTGAATTTTCTGAAGTCACTGCAGCTTTGCATTCAGCTGATGCATAAGGCAAGCTAAGAATTTTGATCCAGCCCTGACTGGTCTGGCAACTGCCTCAGCTGACTCCAGATATTCCTGTTACTGTGTTCATGCTTTTCCTCTTTTTCCTTTTTTTTTTTTTTTTTTTTTTTAATGAGTTGTTCTATCTCGTGCATTAAAGAACAGGATTAAAAAGCTTGTGAGTATTTGGAGTTTTGTATTAAAGTTGGGGTTTGGTCTCAAGCCATTGATTTTTTGCTAAGCTTGATGATGTTTTGTATTTTGTAGGCTATTGTATTGTCATTTCCAATCTGATTCAAGATGTAGTTTGGATGAACTGTGAAGAAAGGACAACTTGAGAGAATGTTCTGGTTGCAAAACTCCTGGACTGCATTTGCACAGAGGCTCAATTGCAGCAGTGCTCTCTCCCTCTGGCTTTCTGTGCTTTTCATGACTTAGGTGCAATAGTTCCTGTAAGTTCTTTGGTTAAAAGTCTTCCATTTGTCATGGGAAAACTCTGAGAGAAATGTATGAGATTGAGTAGTTAGAAGTTTGGTAAATTCATAATGCATAATGAGTAAATTCGTATTTCATAATGCCTAATGAGTTTCTTGTCAGCAAAGAAATAATTCAGTACACGTACGAAAAGCTACAGACCGAAGGGTAGCTGTATTAGCAAAAAATGGTCTAATTCAAACAAGAATTCGAGTGGAAAGCTCTGAAAATCTGTAGACCAGGCCAGGTAATCTTCTTGTCCCTGATCTCACAGACACCACTGTTTCAGTTCTTTAATGCTTCTACAGCTGTAGCTTTCGCTTTGACTCTTATACTCCATGTGCCTTTGAAGTCTATGTGTATATAAAGTTTGTAGCCTGTAAATCCATGCTGAGATCCAGGGGTTTGTCTCCCAGTGCCCAGTACAGGGGCTGATGTGCTGCTTTTAGACCTTTTTTTTTTTCTTTTAATCCTGTCTGTCTCCTCTCACGAGCTCTTTGCCAACACAGGCATTTGCCTTCCTTTTTGTCAGGTGAATGACTACTACTTTTTTGAGTGCCTCTGTAAATAGATTTAGACACAAGAATCCAATCTCCCTCAAACCCAAAGACAGGGTCATTTTCACCATCATTCTGCATGCCGAGCTTTGCCTTTTCCTCCCCCTATTTCAATTCAAGTTAACTACTGTGTATCTTCTTGAAGGCCTGTGAAACAGTAACAAAATGGGACATGACCTTGCTCACTTGGCAGGCTGAATTTTTTTTTATTATACAGGGTAATGAGTATATTGCCTGAAAGCGATCCCTAGTTAGTGTGGGTGCAGATGTGTCCAGCCTGAATGGTAAATGGCTCAGCTTTATTTATGTTGTAATACTGCCTCCTAATTCACCAGCTTTTTTAATTAAGGAATGACAGTGGTCATCTCCACCTCCTCAATCGCAGTGTATCAGCTTCTAGAATGTCTTGGAAGTTCAGGTTGAAACTTTTTCCACTCGTGTGGTGATGCAGTTAATGCACAAAGCGCGTTGTGTTGCCGTGCCTGCCTGAGCAGTTTCCAGCCCTGTGGGAGGAGCACTGCAGTCTTCTGCCACAGCATGGGACAGGAGCCCACAAGACAAGCGTGCATCTGTCTGCATTGCCTATTCAGAAAGGCCTTGGAAGAGCAGGTAGGGACGCATATGCCTTAAACACTAATTCTGTATAGAGATGTCCAAATTGGGATTCCCAAGAATAAGGACCGTCCTTAATTTAGGAGCTTAACGCCAGCTTGATCCTTTCTTCACACTGGTGATTCTGTGATGAGGCTGCTTGTGAGAGATGTGTTCTGAAATCCCACTGTGTGGTTAAGAATGTGACCTGAATGTCTCACATAGCACCAGTCCACTGGTGTGTCAGCACAGCAGATGTTTCTCATTTCTTTTCTGACTCTGTAAACTCTTCTCTGGCACAGTGAGCGGTGAGTGAGCTTTCTGATGGGTTTGGGGAAGCTGTAAATGGTAAGGGTTCAGATAAGCAGTTTGAAATTCCATAATAACATTTAGCTTTTTATTATAAGAGGGATTTTTCAAACAGACCAGGGAACTCGGAATACTTGACAAAAGTGTGTGCTTGTGTGAGGGAAAAAGTGAACATTTCCACAAGAGGTGGGAGATGTGGTTCCAAGTTCCCATGTTTAAATAAGGCACAGAAGCATTTTTAAACACGGCTCTCCCACACTACTGGCTGGGCTCTTGGGTGCCTGCCACAAGTTTCCCTCCCCCTTGCTTTCTGTGCTAGTTCCAATTCACAAGGCAAGCTAAGTAACACCTGCCAGCTTAGTAGCTAAACTTGATTTGAATACAAGGGTAGTCAGAAATGATGAAAGCTGCTGAAAGTAGTGGTTGATGAGCTGATTAGAGTTGGAAGATGCTATTCCAATAACATACTTGAACAAGCAAATGAAATGGGAAGACTCAACAGGAGAGTTTGAACTACTTTTATTGTCATAATCTATAGAAAGCCACAACTAAAGGTTAGCCAGCATTTAAGTCCAGACTCCAAAATGGGTTTGAAGTTCTTAGCTCTTGTGGTCCCTCTAGAGGACTTGGTGCATGGGATGAGCTAGATAAAAGCAAGCTAGATGTAGGCAAATGTCTAGAGATCAAGATGCACATGCTTGTGTGATAGGGAAGGTGCCTTAAGAAATAGTATGTTTCATGTATGAACACAGCATAGATGCAAGTGAACGTAAGGGTGGTTGACACAAGGGTAGGCCAAGGCCTCTGCTTCACATGTGGTCTCTGTTTAGGGATCTGTTAATCTTGCTTATGGACTCTCTTGTTAATGTTTTGAATGAGAATGTTTCTCCATGGACTAAGTTTTACAGATACTAGAGTTCAGGGTAGTACTGAACTGCTAGTTCAATTTTCAGCACACTGTCCATGTATCAACTCATGACTGTAAACTAACATAGTTTGTAATGCAGGTCAGGAAATACAAACTGAGCTTGCAGGGCTCGAGGGGGGATGTACACGTGCATGCCTGAACACGTACAGGTGCATGTGTGCATAAGCAGTGAAGGGTCATTGCAAAGTCAAAAAAAAACGTGTTCAGAATGGGTTTTAGCCCAGACAGGGCCTCGCTTCAGCTCCTGAGGCCTCCAAGTGTTTCTGGCATTAAAAAAATACCAGGCTTGCCTCCTCTGTTGCAGAGGCAGGGAAGGGCTCGCCTTGGGGTCACAGAGGCCTGGTGCTGCCTTTGGCTCCTGACCTTAGAGGCACTTTGGGTTTTTGGACTATTACTGTTCAGTAATGCAGACCTGGTATTCTGGGCACTGGGTTTCCAGTGCATTTCCTTTCAGATCCAACATAACTTCCAAAGGGGAATATCTGACAGATTCTGACAGGCAGAGGGAAAATCTCTGCAGTTGAGATTCTAGAAAAACAAGTGCCAGGCAGATGAAGCATCAAGGAAGGAAACCATAGAAGTTTCCCTCCTGGCTTCTGTCCTTCCAGCTGTGTTCAAAACAGCTCTACCTCTGCTAAATTACCTATTTTTATTTTGAATTTGTGGAAGGTACACACCTAAGTCAGCTCCAACCTGTGGCACAGGCTGAACACAAGAATATAAGAATACAAATGGCCCCCTCACCCAGCCAAACCCTCAAACTGTAGACCAGAAAGTGGTAATACAGAGTATGCACTCAGAATGCATTACTACATACTGTACAGTGGTCCACTGTGTTGGCCTTTTGCTTGCTATATGTGCTTGCAAGACTGAGAACTCAACCACAGGATAATTTCTTGTCACTGGCCAGTAAAAGCTGCAGGAGCTGTTGGGGAATTGTTACACACCAACCTAGAATAAATTAAAAAAAGAGTAAGACCAATTATGACTAAAACCTGCCCCCATGGAGGCGAAGTGAATGGCTTAAACCAGGCACACTTAGCCTAGCACACCATGCCATACACCACACCTCTTGGTGGTCTGGCCATGTGACACAGAGGTTTGGGTTGTGGGCAACTACCATCCCCTCAGGGCCTGATGCTCTCAGTTGCAGACAAGCCTTTTGGGATGGGCAGGAATAGCTGCTCAGGACCAGGCCAGGCATGTAACTGTCATTGTACCCCCTGCCCCATGCCTGTTTCTTTCTCCTTCCCTTTCCACTTCCCTCCTCTTCACCACTTCCCTTGGAGGAACAGTAGTTTAAGACTTACTGATTTTAGAGTTGTGGGCACTACTGCTACAATGGTTTTGTTCATAACATGCCAGCTTTGCCAGACCAGGCAGGGCTAGACTGCACAGTTAACCGGCTTCACAATGCGTCATTGCTTTGTCCCCTTCAGTAGGCTACAGGTGACAAGAAAGCATTAACAGATCTGCTGCTTTTTGTGCACTGAGACAGTGCCAGCACCTCTGAAGAAAAGCTGCTCACACTGCAGCATACGCTGGAGCATGCAGCGACGGAAACAGCATTCAGCAAACAGGCCACAAAGAGATAAATTTTCAAAGTTGAGCTAAGGTTTAGTTATTTATTCTAGCTTAAGCAGGGGATGGCCTGACTTCCATTTTTTTTCAGTCTATTAAAGAGCTTGTACCACTGCTGTGGGTTTTTGGGGCTGGTTTGGGTTTTTTTGGCTCCTGACATTCTTTATTGCATCCCAAACACTGTAAGGCTAAACAGGCCAAATGCCTAGGGAGAAACACAGAGCCCATGGGGACAAAAGGGTAAAAGCCAGATAGGAGTCTTGCATGTATAGATCTGTGTCTGGTTTTGACACACTTCTCACAGAATTTATCAGGTGGGAAGGGGAAAGAATGATCATGTAGTTAAGTTTGAGACCTTGAGCAGGGAAAGGTTCATGAACTTGGTTCTTAGTTTCTGACAACCCTTTCTATTATAGAGATTTGATTTTTCCCCAACCTTCGGCTCATGGGAGACAGTTAAGCTTTGTACTGTAGAAAACTAATAATTGTTAATACACAATGTCGTTACAGCAGCATTTTGTACTTTTACATTCACATTTTCAAAGTACAGCTAGATTCTTTTTTGCACTTGAAAACGTGGCCTGTGGAAGCTCAGACAAATGTGACACATTTTCTGCTAGTGAAGAAGTCACTGACATTACTGTTTTTAGCACACCAGAAGACTGGTCTAATACAAGAAATTTATTCCCCAGTATTAAAAACAGGAGATGAAGGATTAATGAACATACAAGAGGCAGATTGTGATGGCAGCTTATATAGGTTGCCCCCACCCAAAAAATGCAGCATTTTCATTCTTTAAAACACAGCATGAGAAATTTAATTGTACCCTTTTTATTTCAAATGCAGGATAATTCCCTGAGTAAGCAGCATTTTACTTAAAACTTTTCAAGAACTTACTTAAAATAAATCTGAGGAACAAGTTCGCACAGCTGACGGTGAGCTGGAAACGGCATGTTCCTTGGCCCAGGGAAGCAGAGGTCTGGCAGAGTTCTTTAAGTGGGCATTGTCAAAGCTTCAACACAGCACTGTCACCAGCCTCGTTCAGTACAGCAGTCTCCCCCACATCTACATCTCCTCTCCGACTGACCTCTGGGTTTTGAATTACTCTTTGACTACTCTGCCATGAAAGGGATTTTTCATATTTGGTCTTAAAAAGTAATCCATGACCTGAAGAAGCAAGAATGGGGAAAAACAAATCTGAAATGAGATGACTGCACTGGCAAACAGAACAGCTCATTCCTTACAGCTGCACAGAATGGGTTCTCACAGTGGACACTATGCATCCCAAGGCTGTAGATTTTAACACCAACAGCTCCTCCCCTCCTCATCCCCCCCCACCCCCAAAAAAAAACCCAAGTTTAAAGCAATGAACATACGTGGGAGATGGGACGTCTGCTCAGTGACTTGAAGGAGGCTGCACTTACCTGGGCAGTCTGCTGTTGCTTTGAATGCACTTTTCTTACAGCAGCCTCGGCACATGTTAAACACACATTTATTGCCCTGGGGTGGGGAATAAAGAAGCTAGCATCAGTCAAAATAAAATTATTAGTGTTTACTACAATAAGCAACAACAATACAGCTCTGCTCATTCAGACCCTGGAAAAATATCATGAACTTGTGTATTAGGCAGCCACACCTCAGTCTAATGAAGATGACAGAGCTGATGTTATATGGGGGGGGAGCCCCAGCTACCAACTGTACATAGAGAACAAAAACCAAAACAAAAAAAAAAAATACCCCAAACCAAGACAAACAGAAAAAAATTCAGATTCAACTTCTGCAGCGTCTGTAACATGCTGGGCAGCCTGAGCTGCACAACACAAGCAGGTAAGTGCCATCAGTGCTTTGGAAAAGCACTGTGACATTTGTTGCATGTGAGCTTGTTGTAGTTCTCTCCAAAGTAGATGTGAAGCATGGTGCCCGACATGCTTGCTACCATCTGCAGCTATGCCTAAAGTAAATGTTACCACAGGAATTATTTCCCTACTTGCAGCTTAAAAATGTACCTGAGTATATATTAAAATGCAATGTATGACCCTTAGGGGATAGCAGCAGTTGAGTCTTGGGAAGCTGACACTTGCATTTAGCAATCTATCTGGGAGGCTACAATGCTTTGGTTCACACTTTGTTTTGTTCTCCCCCAGTTCCATGACACAGCTTAGAAACACATGATCTTGGGGAGGGAAATAAAACAGGCCCAGTCACAAGATTTCAAGGTCTGTCGGCATCATTACAGTGATGTAAGAGCAAAACAAAAGTGAGATTAAGCCCAGCTTCAGAGAGGTCTGTTGACACACCAAGCAGTGTCACCTGGATTAGCAATGAAATAGGGTGGCTTATGAAAGCAGGCCAGATGAGTGCTCAGTGTTCTCCCAACAATGAACACAGCACAAAATACACTGTCTCCTGTAGTTGCAGCTCCAAACTGAGCCCTAGCTGCTGGTTTTAAGGTACTACAGCTGTTACAAAAGGGAACAACACCACATGCTGTAATGCTACTTTTTGGAAAGGAAGACAACACATTTTTGGAAAGGAAGACAAATGATCTCAAAGACCCTATGTATGGTAGTGGTTTTTGTGCAGCACCTTTACCTCTGTTTATGGTTAATAGTTAAGAGACTTTTGTCCAAGTATGAACTGACTTTTTTCCCCTATGTATCAGCAGGACTTGGTACGTGTGTGCTACTCAACACTGTCATGCACCTACCTCAGGACTCAGAATCCCAGAATAGAGTTGGAAGGCACCTTTAAAAGTCATCTGTTCCAACCACCCTGCAGTGAGCAGGGACATCTTTCTCTAGATCAGGTTGCTCAGAGCCCCGTCCAACCTGACCCTTCCTGGAATGGGCCATACACCACATCTATGGGCAACTTGTGCCAGTGTTTCTCCACCCTCGTGGTAAAAAATTACTTTCATGTATCTAGTGTGAGTCTGCCCTCTTTTAGTGTAAAACCATGAACTCTTGTTCTATTGTAACAGGCCCTACTAAAAAGCCTGTCACCACCTTTCTTATAAGTCTCCTTTCAGTACTGAAAGGTTACAATAAGGTCTCCCCAAAGTCTCCTCTTCTCCAGGCTGAACAACCCCAACTCTCTCAGGCTTTCTGCATAGAGAGGTGCTCCAATCCTCTGACCACTTTTGTAGGCCCCCTCTAGGCTTGCTGCAACAAGTCCATGTCTTTCCTGTGCTGAGGACTCCAGATCTGGATGCAGTACTTCAGGTGAAGCCTTGCTAGAGCAGAGCAGAGGGGCAGAATCACCTCCCTTGACCTGCTGGCCATGTGCCTCTGGATGCAGCCCAAGATACGATTTGCCTTCTGGGCTGCAAGTGCTTATGAGTGCCTGCTCATGTTCAGCTTTTCATCCACCAGCACCCCTAAGTCCTTCTCCTCAGGGCTGCTCCTAAGCCCCAGTCTGTATTGATACCAGAGGTTGCCCCAGCCCAGGTGCAGGAACTTGCATTTGGCCGTGTTGAACTTCACGACGTTCACATAGGCCCAGTTCTCGAGTTTGCCCAGGTCCCTCTGGAGGGCATCCCTTCCCTCACGAGTGTCAACCGTACCACTCAGCTTCATGTCATCTGCAAACTTGCTGAGGGCGCCCTCTATCCCACAGTCTTATGTCACTGTTGAAGACATTAGACAGTACTGGTCCCAGCGTGGACTCCTGCGGGATGCCACTCATCACTGTTCTTCATTTGGACATTGAGCCATTGACCACTTCATGGTCATTTAATTTCCATTTAATAGAAACGCTCTAATGGACCACTGGCATTGACTTACCTTAGGGTTTCCACATTGATCACATTTTGCATATTTGGCTAGAAAAAGAGAGAGGATTTCAGCAATGGTATTTTTATGTGGAAGAAAGTAAACCAACCCAAACAAAGCAGCATCAGCTTGGCACTTCTCTAGCGAGAGAGACTTTTTAAAATTAAAATACAGTACCTCAAAGAACAGTGCAAAGGTCAAGGACTTTTTAAGTGCCTCTAAACTAAATCCAAACATGGAAAATTTTAATTCTCAAGTGTAAGAGAGGAGGACAACTGCTTGAAATGCACAGGCAATTTCAAATATTAATGACAGCTAAAATTCAGTTTGTAAAAGCATTCTGATCTTAAAAAGATGATTATAGTGGATCAGTGACCTACTTCTTTAATCCTAGTTTTCTTTAGTAATGAACATAAACTGAATCACATTGCCTACTACTGAAATTTCCCAGTAATCCTGTTTTAAGAAATTTCTACAACTACATGAACAAGGAAAATAAACAGTGGCTGTTTATGTCAAATGGGATATCAGCACCTTTCCAAGCATTAATCCAATAAATGGAACTTACGTTTTAAAGATGGATCAAAGCTTTTATTTGGATTTCTCAACTTCTTTTTTTGTTTATTCTTTGACAGAAGCTCAGCATTTCCATCTTCCTCCTCTTCCAAAGCACGTTTTCCTCGCACACCTTTTTCACTGGCTCCATTCTCCTTGCATCTCTCCTTTGGCCTGAAACAGTGAATATCATCGTAAATTGGCTGTAGTGAACAAGCAGGTGATCCCCAGATACTGTTCTGGTTTACTGAAATCTGGGTAAACTCTAAACTTTTCTATTAGGCTGAGAAAGTTGGGGCTGCTCAGCCTAGAGAAGAGAAGGCTGTGTGGAGACCTCATAGCAGCAGGGACTCTTCGTTAGGGACTGTAGTGATAGGACAACAGGTAACAGGTTCAAACTTAAACAGGGGAAGTTTAGATTGGATATAAGAAGGAAATTCTTTCCTGTTAGGGTGGTGAGGCACTGGAATGGGTTGTCCAGGGAAGTTGTGAATGCTCCATCCCTGGCAGTGTTCAAGGCCAGGTTGGACAGAGCCTTCAGTGACATGGTTTAGTGTGAGGTGTCCCTGCCCATGGCAGGGGGGTTTTGAACTAGATGATCTTAAGGTCCTTTCCAACCCTAGCTATTCCATGATTCTATGATTACGGTGAAATTACAGGGAAGTGTCACTGCCCATAGAAGTGGAATAGAAAAAGTGAACTTTTTTGTTATCATTGGCTATTAGTAACAGACACACTGTCTTCAGACCAATTTTCACAACAGAAAGGGAGTAAGTTATCTGAAAAGTCTGTCCATACAACACAAGCATCCTTTATAGAATACAATTTAGTTCTCATCTTCGCTACCCTGGCAGTTATCAGCAACATCCATGTTACATATAATGATAAAGTACTGTCAGGTAGCGTATTTGTTGTTCATCAGGTTCTCTTTCTGTTCTGCAGAGGAATTACTGGTTTTCACTTTTCAGAGAGAGAGAAATCTGAGAAGGCTCTAAAGGAGAAGATGAATGCAATGAGCAATATCCCCATGAACAAAGCAATAATCTAGAAAAAAAGAAATGAGAACAAAACCAATCCAAAGTCTTCATTTATTTTCAAATTAATATAAGCTCCTAGAACAGATTTGGGTGGCCCTGTACTGATAGGATAGGTGGGAAAGGCCTATTGGTCTCTGTCCATGTTAAAATAACTAACTTACCCAGGCCTGATGTATGGCTGACAGATCCAGTGGAAGAAAGGCAACCCTTCTTTTGGCTTTTCTCCTTCTTTCTGATTAGCTATTTCTTCCTGCAGTATAGAGTTACAGTCAGTTTTCCTGAAGTTCTCAGGCAACACTCTTAAATAATACTTTCAAACTTCAGGAAACCACAAATTGGAATTTCAAGTGACAGTTATTGACAGTCAAATATAGGCAAAAAACTTCTACTAAGAGAGATTAATTGAAGCAGACTTGTAACTCTTAAATCCTGTGTAAAACTGTCCAGACTTCGGGGGCCGCTACTGTAGTAAACTACCAACGTCAAGGTTGGTAAGCCACAAAGTTTCAATGAAGTGACTAACAGACATCAACTGTATGACATACACGGTAAGTTCCCACCAAGTGCAGACAGTGTTGTTCTGGGAGATTAGGACCCATCTTAGTACCTGGCATCGTAGTTTCAGCTCCCTGTTGACATCTACAATGCCCTCTAGAGTCTTCACTTTTGCTAATTCTTCACGCAGTTGCTGGTAAACTTGAAGCCTGAGGCAAATCCCAAACATCAAGTCATTTTATTCATTATTTCTACACTGAGATCAACTGAAAATATATTTATAAAAGCTTTTCACAGATTTCTCTTGCTGCACTTGCCTTTGGTAGAAGCTTATCTTCTTTCTTGTAAGTCCACAGAAAACCACACCTACCCACTTTTTTTTCAAATAAATACTTGGCACGCAACCAAGGTACTTTGAGATAAGCTAACATGAATACACAGTGCATCAGCCACTCCTCAGTAACTACCCATGGCCATGCTCTTACTACACAACAAATGCAAGACAACTTGCCTCACACTGAACAAGGAGTTAGTTAACTCGTGTTCGCCACAAAGTGCATATGTGTATCTGGGCAATTACCACATGGCAGTTGAAATACTGTGAGCTCACACCCTAGTTATCTTGTGGTAACCTGTTCATTCCCCATGCCCTGTTTTCCAGATATGCAGTGAAGAGTAAAGGCCTCAGCCCACATTCCGTCCAGCCAGGTCCAGGAAAGAAAACCTTGCAGCGTATTCATTCTGGCCAAACAAAATCTTGTCTACAAAACCCAGACACTTGCTAAGCAAGATAAGCCCTGAAAACATGAAGAGTTCTCTGGAGATACTCACGTGTGATGCCAGAGCTTGAAGAGATGAGCCCTAACATAAGACAATGGACAAGGGTACTTCTGCACTATCTCCAGATACTCCTCAGCCATCTCCCACACCAATGGGTTTCGGCCCTCAAACAAAGCTGGGTTATGGAGATTACCTTCTACGGAAGGAAAAGAAATACTCAAACTTCCATTTCAGAATTGAAACAGAAAACAAAAACCAGGCTCTGGAGCTTGATCAGCTCTGTTGTGATTCCACCAGCCAGACAGACACATCACCCATGTACTCAAAGAGGAACACAGGGTACATAAAACTCTGGTCTGACCTCAGGATACTACATTTGACTATACAGTTCTTAACTGAGCCAAATAGCTCATATCTAACTAAAGTACATTTTACAGAAAGGCATCCAATCTTAACATAAAGACAGTAAAAAAAATTGACAAATAGAAAAATCACTGGTTTTGTTGCCCAGTTGTTAAATACTTGGACAGTGGATGTCCTGTCTTATGTCTGTCTTAACATTCATTTGGCCTAAGTTTACAGATACTGCTTCTCACTATGCTTTTCTCTGTTAGCTTCAAAAGCTTTTGTATTTTCTAAGAATAAGATTCTACAACCTCCCAGAAAATATTTCATTGATCTAACTGTGCAAATGATTGGAAGCTTTCTCTGTTTCTGTCCTAGCTCTCCCTGTAGGAAGCTACGCCAGTTCTTTCTTGTCCCAACCCAACATGAAACATCTACAGGAATATTAATCAGTGGATGCACGCCCTGCATCAAGATCCGTTCAAAAACTGTTGCTTTGATTAACAGATGTCATGAAAATATTCCAGGACAACAGGAGTCCCATATGCCTTTGTCAAGTAATTAGATTTGAGCTGTCCACTCAATGGTACTAGAAGTCCAACATAACAATTCTTACATAATCTTAAGTGATTCCTGGTCCTGGTAAGACATGGCCACTCTAAGAAGAAGGAGAATGGCCACTCAGCTTTCAACCAAAGCTGTTCACTAAGTCAGTCTGACATAAGCTCTTAATGAATGTATATGGGGCTGCTAAGAGTAAGAAATAGTTTGTATTTTCACCTGAGTAAAAATTCATTTTATTTACCTGCACTCATGACACCATGCACTCCTGTTTTACGGATACATTCTTCAACATCACTGAGACACTGGATGTTTCCATTTGCAAATACAGGAATGCTTACAGCTTTTCTATACCAGTGAATAAAACAGATGCATAAAATTGAGAATTAGAGTCAACCCAGAAATTCTACTGCTGTCACACATAAACTTGTTTGCTCTTTAATCCACTTAAAATCTACCTTCATCATCTGTTAGCAGAATTCCAGCGACACGAGCACTGCTCACTGACCTGACAGCCTGAATGTGCTCCCAGGACGCCACGCCAGCAAGCGGTCCCTTCTGTTCTTTAGTACGGCCATGCACAGTCAGCAGCTAGAAAACAAAGTTACATCTACTTTTCATGTGCATGAACCACTGGACAAACCGACAAAAATTTCCTTTCACGCCATACACTTCATGGATGCCACTGAATTCCCACTGCTCTTTCAACAGCACAACGACTCTGGTATCACAGAAAGGCATCAGCAGCTCACCTACCATGGCATGGTCTTGGGCTTCTTTCAGATTGCTATTCCACAGCATGACAAGATCATATCTTGGGAGGACCTACAGATTTCCTCCTCTACTGGCTCCTATTTGTGATTCACTTTGGAATTTGTGGTTTATTGATCTGGCTTGCTCCTCAGCAGAAGGTCTGAACACTGTCAGTACTTGCTCTAACCACAGCATCTCTTCCTGTTTGAGTTAACTCCTAGAAAGCTGCCTATTTTCTCACTAGTGGCAGTCATTTTTGATACTAGGTTTTTATTATAGCTCTGTGGACTTCATGCACTCACACTGCCTCCTGCAGCAGACTGAGACGCTCAGCCACAGTGAAGGATGCCACCCTGTGCAGTGATTATAAGAGAGACTCTGAAATCATGATGTCTTCTGCAGCACACTATTGGCCTGCTGCCTACAACTGCGAATATATAAAGTCTCTCTGCATCCCATTTTTCCTCTTTGTAAAATGATGCAGCCTATTCATCTCCACTGTAATCCAAGATCCGGTCACCAGATGCTTTACAAAGAGACGTGTGTCCAATGCAAGAGTACAGGGAGCAGCTGCCACCTTACCTGGCATCCAGCCTTCTCCAGCATCTGTGCATACTTCACTGTCTTGTCAATTTCTGGGAAAACGCGGATTTTACATGTGATGGGAACAGAGAGCTTCTCATTTGCCAGTAAAACTGGGGAAGATTGAAAAGACACGTAAGTGGGCTGCACAATGCTATGAAGAGTGCATATCCTCAAGATACTAGGTGTGGTATGTAAAAAGCCTCAAAAGTTAATGCTAGGCAGTTCTCACAGCTTAAACAATCAGCAGTGTCCTCTGCAATCCTTACTGCACAGGTTAATCAAGTAATAGTAAAACATGAAGCACAAAATCTGCATTCTAACAAAAAGGCATAAAATAGTCAACGTTTAATAGTCCTAATGCTTCCACCACATCAAACCTTCACTTTCAAGGACCATCCCCTCAAATCTTCATCATTGGTACAGGTTTACTGTAATCACAGGCTATTGTACTCCTCCTACTCTGCCAACAACATTAATACTCTCTTGTCCACCTTTTCTACAAGAGATGCTTTGCTTCTTTCTAAATCTTCACATAAACAGTCATGACAAGTAGAGTCTTGTCCATGGCCAAAAGAGGCTTATCAACTGAATTTGACAACTGTGGACCCAGTTTAATAGTAAATGTAGGTTACACAATCAGGATGAAATCTAGAACATTTTAAACTCCCATAGTGTTTACACAGTGCATGAAATCGGAAAACTACTGAAAAGATTGCTAACAAAACCAACAGAAAAAACACTGAGCAATGGCATGCTTGAAATTCTCTTTACTTCCAGAGCTTGGATGTATAATATAGCCACCTGCTGTGTTCTAACTCAAATCCTAGGAGCCCTATTGATAGGTACTTTCTAACACCCTTTCAAATGAACACTTAAGGTGTATACAGGCGTAAGCAGAAAAGAGTACTCCATCATATTAGAAAAGGATGGGGGAGAAGGAGGAAGAGGAAGCTCTGACCACCTTTTATACAACAGTCTAATAAGACAACTCTCTTACTACACACCCTGGATTTTCACCCAACCGGATGACCTGGGTTCTCTTCTCACCTTGAGGCTGTTCTGATTTGTACCTTTTACTTCTAAGAAAGGTGCCCTAACTGCACATTACATGCTGGGCAGAAAAGCACCGTCTAGCTTTCCAGGGTCTCAGCAGTCTCTGTGCCAAACATCATTCAAGATTCCCTGGACCACGCAAACAGAAGTATTCTAATTTCACGGAATTCATAAACTTGCTCTGAAGTGGGGTGAAAGCACATTCTCAGCTATACTCAAAGACCAAAACCTTGCTTTTTAAATCAATTCTGAATGTATTAAAGAGAACAGAAAAACCCCAATACTGTTCACAACTGCTACCAGCAGTCTGAAAGCAACCTACACAAATTAGAAGAGAAGCATAACTTGTTATAGTGCGGACAGAAAGGTATGCTGAGTTGATCAGAAAAGGGCAGCTGTGGCTTCAAGTAGGAGAACACCTGGCTCCTGAGAACTTCAAAGTGAAAAAGTAAGACACTGGGAGTTCTGCTGTTTCACAGAATCCCAGATTGGTTTGGGTTGGAAGGGACCTTAAAAATCATCTGTTTCCAACCCCCGGCCACAGGCAGGGACCCCTTCCACTAGACCAGGTTGCTCCAAGCCTCTGTGTCCAACCTGGCCTTGAACACTGCCAGGGATGGGGCAGCCACAGCTTCCCTGGGCATCCTGTGCCAGTGCCTCAGCACCCTCACAGGGAAGAATTTCTAGACTCTAGAAGAAGTCTATAAAGAATTTCCAACTGCAGTTTCTAGAGCTGGAGAGACATTAAGCCATCATCAGACTGGGGCTTTATTGACTAACTTTCACCTAAAGTGTTTCAGGTACTAAAGTCTTTTAGCAGATCTAGAATAAGTCCTGTAGTGGGATACTATAAAGAATTCTGAGGGTGCCACTGGAATACAGTAAGAAAGAAAGAAGATACGAAGATAGGCTGAGAAAGTTGGGGCTGTTCAGCCTGGAGAAGAGAAGGCTGCGTGGAGACCTCATAGCAGCCTTCCAGTATCTGAAGGGGGCCTACAGGGATGCTGGGGAGGGACTCTTCATTAGGGACTGCAGTGACAGGACAAGGGGTAACGGGTTAAAACTTAAAAGGGGAAGCTTAGATTGGATCTAAGGAGGAAACTGTTTCCTGTTAGGGTGGTGAGGCACTGGAATGGGTTGTCCAGGGAAGTTGTGAATGCTCCATCCCTGGCAGTGTTCAAGACCAGGTTGGACAAGGCCTTGAGTGATGTGGTTTAGTGTGAGGAGTCCCTGCCCATGGCAGGGGGGTTGGAACTTGATGATCTTAAGGTCCTTTCCAACCCTGACTATTCTATGATTCTATGAAAAAAAACCACAAACCAAACCAACAAAACACAAACACAACCCTCCCCAAAGAAACATGCTGTACCTCCTTTCCCCCGAATCCATAAACCTCCTCTCAGTAATGAGTTCATCCTAGTCCCTCTCCAAGTGAAGTCTCTGTAAAGTGAGGCCTCTTTAAAGACTTACTCATTCTCTGAAGAAGATCCCATTCCTCTTGCAGAAATGCTCCGTAGTGACCTACGATAAAATAACATAACAGACTTGTAGAGAAGACCAAGATTCATAAACTCACATACAAAGATCCAGACACTCATACGCCTCTGGAAACAGAGTTGCTCTGTCCTGCCCAAACTGGAAGAGGTGAGTCATTCTGTCCCCCATGCCACCCTAGATTTACAGGACAAACGATGAATCCCCACAACCTACTTCCACTGCTACTCCTTAAGGCTGTTGTGTTGACACCAGCAGCTCGAAGTCCAACTTTCAGGAGTTTATATCAGGTGTATAAAAATTCCCTTCAGGATAATACCCAATCAGATTGAAAGATCTATTTGCTCTGTACACCACTGATCACTTCCTATTAGTCTTTGAAAGACATTTTAGAAGAGGAATAAGCAGTTACTGAACAGATCGCTTCTCAGCATCCTAACTTATTCAAAATTTTCAAACACTGGTTCTGGTTTTCAAACCAGCTATCTTTGCAATACCTCTTAGGGATCCGGTAGGTGTTATCCTTTTATATGCTAATGTGAATAAACTCCCTGCAAGTATCAAGGAAAGAGGGGACTTTACGTTCCTGCGTAACAATTTTAAATGCAGTGTTGCAAAATTGGTTTCATTTGGTCCTCTTGGTGTTTTACTAGCAACAGTCACATTTGAAACGTACCATTTCTCTATTTATGCAGGGTTCAGATTTGCACGTACCTCTCTTTGCAATCATTTGGGGGCAACCCAAATTTAGGTCTATGGCATCGCAATAATCCTGAGCCAACAGTGCTGCTTGGACAAACACTTCAGGGTCATTGGCACAGAACTGAGAAAGACAAAAAGAAGTGGAATAATTAGGCAATAGCTTTCTTGAAGTACTGACAACACATTATGACATAGTTATGAAGCAATCTACTTGCTACAGAAAACAGGCATAATATGCACAGTTAATAATAGCAAACACCATTTCCCAAAAAAAGAAAACCCACCACAGACAAAAACTGTGACACTCACCTGCCAAAGATCCTCAAACTTCAATTGAAAAACTGAGAAAGATGAGCATTCGAGAGGCAAAGAAATATTTATAGAATATTTGACATGTAATATCCACGAAAAAGATGGAACAACACTTAAGATCCCCTGTAGAACAAACAGCTATAGCATTTGATACATAAAGGTAGTGCAGAAGAAAAGAGTTACCTGTGGTGTCTCTGGGTCTTCAGACAATTCTTAGATAAGTACCACTGCCTCTCAAATGAATTCACGTTTGTGTGGAATGTGAAATAGACACACTGGGCTGATAGTCAAATGCTCAGTCTTAAATATAATTAATACTGCATGTAAAACAGTGCAAAAATCAGTTTATTAAGAAAAAAACGGGTGAATTTGAAGCTGCATTGTTGAACAGGACAGTAACAGACTATTATTCTCATTTATGCTTTTAAACAGATTTTCTTAAATTCATTATTAACAAAAACAATGCCATCACACCTTTAAATAACATGGATTTAAACTCAAACACGTGTGCAGAAGATGTCACTTAAGTGCTACAGCATTATGTAAATTATGTAACTAAAACAAGAAAAGGCATTTCCTTCTCGGAGATGTTTAAAACAGTAGAAAGCCTCCAACTATGCCACATCAGTGAGGATTTTTACACAGTAAAACCCACAACCCACAGGGCTGGCAGGGCTCAGACACAAATCTGCTTAATCTGGTTCCAAGAGTCTGTGACCAAAACCCAAACCTGCCCAGAAATATTGCAGAAATTGGTAAGGATTGCTGTACTGGGTCAAGCGAAGATCTAGTTAGCTCTGTGCCTTATGTCCAGTAGTGGCCAGTGCGATGGATAATGTAGCAAGCTCACAGTAACTGCCTCTCTTCAGGTAGGCTTCCCAGAACACAGAGTTTACTGAGCTGAAGATCTGTGTTCAAAAAACTTAAGAGCCTTCTAAGACTAGAAGTCTGCCACCTGTATTTTTCTGTGGCAAATGAAAGTACCTCTCTTAGAAAAAGGAGAATATACAAAGCTTTACTGAGACAGAACAAAGGTCCACCTCATCCTGCTCTGATAATGGTCAACAACAGATGAGTAGCAAACAGCAGAAACTGGTTCTTTGGAAGAAAATGTCTTCTTTGGAAGCAGAAGTGGTGTTTGCTGCACCTAATGACCCTCAAGAGAGTTTTCTTTCATTTGCTTTCTAAACTCATGTAATCTTTCAGCATCCATTACATCCTGCGGTAATAATTTTCAAAGCTTATCACTACCTTTATTTAACATTTGTTTCCTATTCATCTTCAAGCCAATCTTACTTTCACACACTTCTCTTATCTCTCCCCTCAGACAGGGGAGACACTTTTCTTCCAGGGCAGAGTCCCCATTCATTTAACTGCTCCACATGTGGAAACCACACCATTCCTCTGCTCATGCTGGCTGTCTTTCCCTGCATTCAGCTCTGCAGCCCTCTCCTTCTTTGGGATGGAGTGGAGGGACATACCTGAACCTCACAAGGTACTCAAGAAGCAGAAGCAACACAAGCTTTAAAGTGTGTCTTATCTTCCTTGCCTCTTTTTTCTATAGCTATGTACAGAACTCATTGTTTCAGAGTACTACTCAAAAATTTGTGATCCTCCCTGAATGGTATCACGTCTGGAACAACCCTTGACTCTAGAAGACCAGCTGCAACGTATGTGTAAAGATGACATGTAGAGGACTGAAACCCTGGGAGAAGTCTAGTGCTCCAGGCCTCTGTGGTTAAGATACCAAATCCCCTTTGCTACACAAGGGATAAACAGAAAAACACACCTTCATGAGCTAAGTACTGTTAGCAGTATTTAGGGGAAGAAAATGAGATTTCTGTCATCTCATAGAACCAGGTATATATATATATATATAAACACATACAGGTAACAAGTGACTGGCGTGAACTCATGAGCATTTGGAAAACGTCTGGATTTGTGAACACAAACGCGGTGGATGACAACGGTGTATTTGGCAATGCCGACTTGCCTTCGTAGCGCTACCCAAGAGCGCACCGCAAGGAGAACCCCGGGGAGCCATTCCCGGCAGTGCCTGCCGCCGCTCCGGCGCTGGGGCTGACCGGGCAGGCGCCGCCGCTCGGGGAGCGCTGCGGGCCGCCGGCTCGGACGCCAGTGGCAGCACTCACCTGCACGATAAGCGGACGGTCCTCGGGACAAGCCTCGTCGTAGAGGTTCTCGCGGCGGTAGTTAGCGTCCCTGAGGAAGACCTGGGCGTGCAGCATCGGCGTGTAGCAGAGCTGGGCGCCGTGGCGGCGGCTCAGCAGCCTCCAGGCCAGCTCGCTCTGGTCAACCATGGGCGCCACCACGTAGTGGGCGCTCCGCAGCGTCTCCCTCCAGAAGGCCTCCCCACGCAGCTTCGGCATTTCTCGCCCGCCCCCCGCCCGAGCGGCGCTGCGGCAGCCGCCCCCCCTCGCCGCCGCACCGGGGCTCGCAGCCGCCGCCTGGAGCCCGGAGGAGGGAGCGATCGCGGGTCCCTGTCAGGGCACGGCGCCGGCCGGACGGTGCCACCGCCATCTCGCTCCGGTCGGCTCCGCGGTGCAGCTGCGGCGGCGTCCCCTCCGGAAACCGCGGCGCTGCAAGGAGGGGCCGCCCGCTGAAGAGTTCAGGCAACGGCAACGCGCTACCATCTTCCATTGCCTTCACTTCCAGAGGCATAAACAACCCATTCTGATATCTTAAACACGCAGCCTAATTCTCCTTCACCCACCCCCATCTCTTAAGCAGCTGCTCCAGAATTTGTTTGGGGTTTGGCTTTTTTTTTTTTCTTTTGGGCCGAGTTGCTGTCAATGGGCCTGATCTTCAGTGACAGTAAAGTAACTAACTGCAGGAGGAAAATGCCTGCTTCCCTTATCACTGGTCTACCTTAAATGTTTTGGGTTTTACTTGACCTCCCCCTCAGCACTGGAAAGCTTCTCTACTGGAGCAGTCTGGTAGTGCTGTTTAGTCACCAGTTCTTGCATGTTTTAGCTATTGTCTTTGGCAAGAGGCGTATTTCTTTCTCCTCAGGGAAATGGTAGGATAGAAAACAAGAATAGCTTTCTTATTTTTCTTATTAAGGCTATATTGCAGATTTAAGGTATACTGCCCACGATTTCAGGGTAGCAATGTGTTTGTGAACCTATTAAGTTTACAGGGCCAACACGGCATTGTGTTTCTCAGTCTCAAGATTAAGACCAGCCTGGTGTAGAGAAGCCTATGAGAAGCTAGCTGAAAAGGAGACTGAAAAGTGAGTAGGGGTTGACAACAGAAACTCTCACTTCAATTTCTTATAGAAGGGTAGTTGTTAAGGACTTGACTTCTGCCCTCGTCTTCTCAAGGCAAGCAACTGTAGTTTTCGATTTTGCAGAATGTATGTTGCCATTTGCCTATGCCTATCTGATGGACTAGTGAGAAACAAGCAGCAGTACCAGCACTAGTAAGGTTTTTATTTTTGGCACACTGTGTTCAGCAGCCAGTTGCAGAATGGGATACAGGGCAGCAGCTCATAGTTACAAAATTACGGGGGGATCAAACCCAAAACAACCTTCTGCTTTTCAAGTAACAACCAAAGCAACATTGAGATCATGTAGACTAAGTCCTTGAGGAACTTCTGTTACTAAACCAGTTATCTTCAAGCTTTGCTTAGATGAGACCATGAATCTTTATACAGAGCACTCATCCACCTCCTACGCCAATAGCTGGAACAGCATTAGTCCTTGCTCCCTCTCATTCAAGATTTGTTGAAACATTTTAGCACAGAACTATTGCAGTATGTCTGCTTGAAGTTTAATCACTCCTTTCTCTTTCCTCCTAGGTTTTCAATTGAACCAAGCCAAGTAGAAGTCTTTCAACATTGTTTTTGTTCAGGCTCACTACAACTGCCAGTAGTTAAATTAAAAACGAACCAACCAACCACATTTGTTTTGTTACGTAGTATCCTATGCCACGATGTGCATGGGTAATATGCAGTAGACATAATGAAGTCCCAGAGCATGCACATATGCCCAGTTCACACAGCCACTCTTCAGTATTAGATTCTTTGTGGCTGTAAGGCACCTCACCCTCACACATTAGCCCCTTCCCCTCCTTCTGTTACTGCCTAACACCTAGTCATACCTAATAACTTGACAGCATTTATACCCATTACGTAACACTCTCAGTGACCTTGAGGTAGATGCCATTAGTCCCATTTTACAAATGGGGAAACTGAGGCAGTAGCATTAATGGCTTGTTCAAAACCACAGTAGTGGAGTCAGGATTAGAATGTAGGAGTTTCCACTTCAATCTTGTGGGTGTGTGCAAAATCATGGCAACAAGAAGCCATGCTCCAGAATAAGTAGTCTTCTTTATTATTATTATTTCTGCAGACTCCAACTCAGATATGCCAGAAGCAGGTTTTGCTTTTTACCAAGAAATGAGAGATTGTAGATGAAACACAGGATTAAAAAATGGTGGTAGAGAATAAGACAAAAAGCCAACCAGTGATCAATTCTGTTTAATACTAGGAAAGCCAAAAAGACACTGTTAAGACCAAAACATATTAAAAAAAAAACAAAACAAAAAAAACACCAAAAAACCAACAACAAACAAAACAAAAAAAGAAAAAGAACAAGACTTATTTTGGAAATTAAGGTGACATTATATTGGTTTTATTTCAGATTTCACAGAAGAAACACTTTATAAAACTAAAACCAGTTAACCCAGCCACTATCAACAGAGGGTGGCATAAGCAAGACACTAGGTCAGAACATGCAGTGAAGAACCATCTATTCCTGTCATTGAAATGCTCCTGTACTACCAGGACACTTCACTGGGGGATTCAGATGGAGCAAACTGGGGATTTATAGCAGTTCTGAGAGGCATAATAGCTCCTCCTAGTTGGGACTTCATTGCTACCCACATCTCCTCTGTATCATAAGTGTAGTAAGGATTTACTGATTTTGGAAAGGACAGATTCAGCATAGCAAAGGCAAGAAGTTTATTGACTTTTATGCAAGTTTCCTTTAAAAAGGTACTATGTCTTAAAATCATGCCATCAAACTGGTTACTTAGCTAACTTTTGTGGGATCTCCAGTCTCATTACTGAGAGGAAAATGAATACACAAGGCTTAGGAAGACCCTGTGCTAAATAAAATATACAGGGGCTCTGGGTACATACTTGTATGTTTGCCTGAACTTTGGTTATGGAAGAGCAGGGAGGGGTAAGAGGATTTGTTAAGTTATAATTGAAGAACTTTATCCCACCCCTAACCCCCACTCCAAATGTCTGGTTGGGTGGCAAGACTGGAGGTGGGAAGGAAAAAGGTAAAGCAATAGTCTTAATGCTTTACAAAGGTTCTGATAGAACAGAGCACAGAACCTTGCACAAATATAAAGTACCTTCCTATGGATAGCTTTGCCTTCTTTTTATCAGACCAAGTGTTAAGACAGTTCCATACAGTGGCATCCATCCTACACTCCCCCCGCCCCCCTCCCAAAAAAGCAGATGATGGCAAGAGCCCTGCCTTCCTCACTACTACCTTTTCCTTTCTGAACTGGGAATGGCAGTGAGAGAAAGAGAAAAAAAAACAGAAGAAAAAGAAACCACATTATTCCAAAGATGCACTTTGGTTTAACATATAGGCAACTTCCCCTTGTAGAATAAGCTTTCCCCTCCAAAAAGGGATGTTTCTTTTCTTCTATAACCCACGATAAATTAAAACCAAGTAAGAAGTCTCTGGTTTGACATAATAAATACTTAGAATATATCAAATGACAAAAAAAAAGTTACAAAAGCCTCAATGGAATTCTCTTTCTGACATAGCCACAGACAGATTCTTCACAGACAAAAAGGTATCTCAGAAATCAGCTGCAGCTCTTCTCCCTGCTCACCGGGCTTGGTCAACAAGTGCTATCACATATGCTTTGGAATACTGTTAAGACAAAAACAATATAGAGCACAAGAAATCTACTCCTAAATTTGTTTTTCATACTGCCAAGGGTGTAGGAACAATCATCGATGGGCAACCCTCACAGCAGTGCATAGTGACAGAGTTGGAGCACTAGAGTAACACAGACAGGGATACTAGGGGAAAACAAAGCATACGAAGAGAACAAGGAGAGAGAACCCATGAAGTTGGGAAAGGAAAAGATGAGCAAGAGAAAGAAATCAAGTTCAGCTGGACTTCCCAGTTCTGGCAGCAGAGCAGATGAGATGTTGAACAACAAGAAGAGTTCCTTGGGGTCTGTCATAACAAAGAATGTTGTTGGCATTTTCTTCACCATTGGTGGTAAGCGAGCAGAAATTAACCCTCTCTGACACTGACACGTGGCTCTGCCAGTGAGCTGTGGATGATCCCAATAATTGATTCAACGCCATCTCCCTCCAACAAGGTGCGGTGATCCCCTTCAATAATATGGACAGATACTTTCCCATCACATACCTGCATAGATATGGAAAAGAACAGCTTTACAGTCACATATACAATCAGGTAGTTGGTTTGGGTTTGGCAGTCTTCTAAGTCACTCATAGTTTACAACACTATCTCGGTCAAACTCAACTGAAAACAGCACCAGTTTGACACATTTCTATAGGTCAGCTGCGGGGCATTGCTTGGAATCAGTTTTAAAGCATGATAATTTGACAGCCTGACAGGTGACCCACTCAAATATAAGCTGGGCAAGAAGCCAACCTGATGCTAACTGAATAATTACCTACAATATCAAAGAATGATAAAATGGCTACTTCCAAGCCCTTAGGAAAATCAAATAATGCTCCTCTCGGCCTAATCTTTCTCCCACCACCATCAAATCTTCCTTTAAGGTCATTAAGTAACTCTTAATAACATACAAGTTAACCTAGTATCAATAATGAGTGTAACTTAGAAGTATGAAGGGAAAAGAGATACCAGAAGCAGGTGCTCCTGAAACTCTCTCCCTTTTCCCTGGTATTGTACAATAATGTAAGACACTTAACCCTTTTACATGAACAGGGCTAGAGACCAGCGACCTTATCTGGACCATGGGCTGAAAAAGTAAAGTTTTCAGTCTCACAGGAAACCCACAAACTAACTTCAAAGCGGTCCCCAAAAGCTAAAAGCTAAAGAGCGACCTCTGTTGTCAAAAGTCTAACAGTTGCTCTTCAGAAGTCTGTCCTCAAGCAGCAGACAAACTTTAGTTTACAGCGACAGAAGGATACTAAAAGTTACTTCTGTCAAGTTACTCTTAACATCTTTATTATCTGAAGTCTAGACAGAGAGCTGCAAGAACCAGCTATAGAAACACTTATCCAATAGAGAGAGTAGACCTCCTTCTAGCCCTCACTACCCCAAGAAAATGCCTGGAACAGTCAACTCATTTGCTTCTAGGGACTTTAAGTTCCTGTTAGAGCACAATAGCTGCAGAATTGTAATTTCTTTCAGTTGGTTTCATCCTTTCCCCCGCAGTAAGGATGATTTTCCATGCTTTTCTTTTGCTCCCTCAAGTATCAAGAGAACCTCAACAGTCACCAGCAGGCCTCAGACTGACCTCTGAGAGTCTGTAGTCTCCACCCAGTCCTTCTTCATATT